CCTGGCTGTGTGTTTCAGGTCGTTGTCATGCTGGAAGACCCAGCCACGACCCATCTTCAATGCTCTAACTGAGGGAAGGAGGTTGTTGGCCAAGATCTCGCGATACATGGCCCCATCCATCCTCCCCTCAATACGGTGCAGTCGTCCTGTCCCCTTTGCAGAAAAGCATCCCCAAAGAATGATGTTTCCACCTCCATGCTTCACGGTTGGGATGGTGTTCTTGGGGTTGTACTCATCCTTCTTCTTCCTCCAAACACGGCAAGTGGAGTTTAGACCAAAAAGCTCTATTTTTGTCTCATCAGACCACATGACCTTCTCCCATTCCTCCTCTGGATCATCCAGATGGTCATTGGCAAACTTCTGACGGGCCTGGACATGCGCTGGCTTGAGCAGGGGGACCTTGCGTGCGCTGCAGGACTTTAATCCATGACGGCGTAGTGTGTTACTAATGGTTTTCTTTGAGACTGTGGTCCCAGCTCTCTTCAAGTCATTGACCAGGTCCTGCCGTGTAGTTCTGGGCTGATCCCTCACCTTCCTCATGATCATTGATTTCCCACGAGGTGAGATCTTGCATGGAGCCCCAGACCGAGGGTGATTGACCGTCATCTTGAACTTCTTCCATTTTCTAATAATTGCGCCAACAGTTGTTGCCTTCTCACCAAGCTGCTTGCCTATTGTCCTGTAGCCCATCCCAGCCTTGTGCAGGTCTACAATTTTATCCCTGATGTCCTTACACAGCTCTCTGGTCTTGGCCATTGTGGAGAGGTTGGAGTCTGTTTGATTGAGTGAGTGTGAATTACTTAAAAATCCAGAAAATCACATTGTATGATTTTTGTTTTAGATTCCGTCTCTCACAGTTGAAGTGTACCTATGATACAAATTACAGACCTCTACATGCTTTGTAAGTAGGAAAACCTGCAAAATCGGCAGTGTATCAGGTACTTGTTCTCCCCAGTGTGTGTGTGTATGTATGTGTGTATATATATATATATATATATATATATAATATACCCACAGCTGTGGAAAAAATTAAGAGACCACTGCAAATTGTTCTTAAATCAGCATCTCTACATGTATGACAGCCATTCCATTCCAGTGTCTGTTGAATTCCAACACAGGCACACTTCATTCTACTGAATTAGGTACTGATTAGGTGATCACCTGAACCAAATCTTATTTAACAAAGAAAAGTATACTATCCTCTTGCAATAGGACCAGATGGATGGCAAAAAAAGTGCTAATAGTACCTCAAAAATAATAATAATCAAAAAATACCTATTGACCATGCCAAAAGAGTTGAAAGGTAAAGTTTTGTGTGAGAAAAGAAGGGTTCAGTTCTGGCTTTACTGGCAGAGGGATACAGTGATCGTCAGGTTTCTTCCGTCCTTAAAATTTCAAAGACGGCGGTTCATAAGAACAAGGTCAAGCAGCAGACATTGGGGACAACAAAGCTACAGACCGGCAGAGGGCGAAAATGACTCTCTACTGACCGGGATGACCGCCAACTCATTCGAATGTCACTCAACAACCGTAGGATGACATCAAGTGACCTACAAAAAGAATGGCAAACAGCAGCTGGGGTGAAGTGCACGACGAGGACGATTCGGAACAGGCACCTAGGGACAGGGCTGAAGTCGTGCAAAGCTAGAAAAAAGCCCTTCATCAATGAGAAGCAAAGAAGAGCCAGGCTGAGGTTTGCAAAAGACCATAAAGATTGGACCGTAGAGGACTGGAGTAAGGTCATATTCTCTGATGAGTCCAATTTTCAGCTTTGCCCAACACCTGGTTGTCTAATGGTTAGACGGAGACCTGGAGAGGCCTACAAGCCACAGTGTCTCGCACCCACAGTGAAATTTGGTGGAGGATCTGTGATTATTCTGGGGGTGCTTCAGCAAGGCTGGAATTCGGGCAGATTTGTCTTTGTGAAGGACGCATGAATCAAGCCACGTACAAGGTTGTCCTGGAAGAAAACTTGCTTCCTTTTGCTCTGACATTGTTCCCCAACTCTGAGGTTTGGTTTTTCCAGCAGGACAGTGCGCCATGCCACACAGCCAGGTCAATCATGGTGTGGATGGACCACCAAATCAAGACCCTGTCATGGCCAGCCCAATCTCCAGACCTGAACCCCATTTGAAAACTTCTGGCATGTGATCAAGAGGAAGATGGATGGTCACAAGCCATCAAATAAAGCTGAGCTGCTTGAATTTTTGCGCCAGGATTGTGATAAAGTCACCCAACATCAAATGTGAAAGACTGGTGGAGAGCATGCCAAGATGCATGAAAGCTGTGATTTAAAATCAGGGTTATTCCACCAAATATTGATTTCTGAACTCTAACTCTAACATTATTATTGTGTTGTTTAAAAATGAACATTAACTTATTTTCTTTGCATTATTCGAGGTCTGACAACACTGCATCTTTTTTGTTATTTTGACCAGTTGTGATTTTCTGCAAATAAATGCTCTAAATGACAATATTTTTATTTGGAATTTGGGAGAAATGTTGTCAGTAGTTTATAGAATAAAGCAAAAATGTTATTTTTACCCAAACACATACCTATAAATAGTAAAACCAGAGAAACTGATCATTTTGCAGTGGTCTCTTACTTTTTTCCGGAGCTATATATATACACACACACACACACAGTGAGGGGAAAAAAGTATTTGATCCCCTGCTGATTTTGTACGTTTGCCCACTGACAAAGAAATGATCAGTCTATAATTTTAATGATAGGTTTATTTGAACAGTGAGAGACAGAATAACAACAACAAAAATCCAGAAAAACGCATGTCAAAAATGTTATAAATTGATTTGCATTTTAATGAGGGAAATAAGTATTTGACCCCTCTGCAAAACATGACTTAGTACTTGGTGGCAAAACCCTTGTTGGCAATCACAGAGGTCAGACGTTTCTTGTAGTTGGCCACCAGGTTTGCACACATCTCAGGAGGGATTTTGTCCCAGTCCTCTTTGCAGATCTTCTCCAAGTCATTAAGGTTTTGAGCCTGACGTTTAGCAACTCAAACCTTCAGCTCCCTCCACAGATTTTCTATGGGATTAAGGTCTGGAGACTGGCTAGGCCACTCCAAGACCTTAATGTGCTTCTTCTTGAGCCACTCCTTTGTTGCCTTGGCCGTGTGTTTTGGGTCATTGTCATGCTGAAATACCCATCCACGACCCATTTTCAATGCCCTGGCTGAGGGAAGGAGGTTCTCACCCAAGATTTGACAGTACATGGCCCCGTTCATCGTCCCTTTGATGAGGTGAAATTGTTTTGTCCCCTTAGCAGAAAAACACCCCCAAAGCATAATGTTTCCACCTCCATGTTTGACAGTCGGGATGGTGTTCTTGGAGTCATAGGCAACATTCCTCCTCCTCCAAACACGGCGAGTTGAGTTGATGCCAAAGAGCTCCATTTTGGTCTCATCTGACCACAACACTTTCACCCAGTTCTCCTCTGAATCATTCAGATGTTCATTGGCAAACTTCAGACGGCCCTGTATATGTGCTTTCTTGAGAAGGATTTCAGTCCTTCACGGCGTAGTTTGTTACCAATAGTTTTCTTGGTGACTGTGGTCCCAGCTGCCTTGAGATCATTGACAAGATCCTCCCGTGTAGTTCTGGGCTGATTCCTCACCGTTCTCATGATCATTGCAACTCCACGAGGTGAGATCTTGCATGGAGCCCCAGGCCGAGGGAGATTGACAGGTCTTTTGTGTTTCTTCCATTTGCGAATAATCGCACCAACTGTTGTCACCTTCTCACCAAGCTGCTTGGCGATGGTCTTGTAGCCCATTCCAGCCTTGTGTAGGTCTACAATCTTGTCCCTGACATCCTTGGAGAGCTCTTTGGTCTTGGCCATGGTGGAGAGTTTGGAATCTGATTGATTGATTGCTTCTGTGGACAGGTTTCTTTTATACAGGTAACAATCTGAGATTAGGAGCACTCCCTTTAAGAGTGTGCTCCTAATCTCAGCTCGTTACCTGTATAAAAGACACCTGGGAGGCAGAAATCTTTCTGATTGAGAAGGGGTCAAATACTTATTTCCCTCATTAAAATGCAAATCAATTTATAACATTTTTGACATGCGTTTTTTTCTGTTTTTTTGTTGTTGTTATTCTGTCTCTCACTGTTCAAATAAACCTACCATTAAATTGATAGACTGATCATTTCTTTGTCAGTGGACAAACGTACAAAATCAGCAGGGGATCAAATACTTTTTGAACATTTGCTGTTGACTGATATTTACTGGTTCACAAGGTGCCCTGCCCTTATGGTGGTGCTGTATCAGCCATTGATACTTGCTGACAGGGTTATTTTAAAACTTAGCCCTAGCCTACCTGCGGTGCGTGGGGGTCATCTGGGACATGGCTAGCAGCCATCTCTGATCCTGTGTGCTGTTGGAGCGGCTAGCTAGGCCTACACTTCTATCCAGCAGGGTTTACTGTGGCAGGCCAGTGTAGCATATGGAATTGCTAGGAACAGGAGTTTATTCCTGACTACAGAAAGATTTGAAATATGCTTTTAGAGCTCTGAGCTTTTCCTGGTCATGTCACATAGGCCTAGAAAGGAAATATACCTGGCGCAATGAGATGGCATACAAAAAGAAAGGGCTGTACTGTATTGTAACAGGCCTTGGATTAAAAGTGTCTACTAAATGCTGCCCATATTATTATAACAACAGTCTTGCCCAAGCCTTGACCCAGGAGGGATCACACGCAACCTGCCATTTCAGAGACCCAACTAGATCACTATCATTAGCCTACTGAATTGCTTAACTAACAAATACGTCTGTGCTTTAGGAAAATTATGTGGCTGGCATGGCTAGGCTACTACTATGGCTATACTACTACTCTTGTAGAAGTTGTGAGCTCAGGCTGTGCCTCCAAATTACACCCTGCACGGCAAATACTGCCTGAACTATGAACATTATGAACTTGTGCCTACTTCTTTATCTTTGTCATTTACTGAAGCTGAATTATAACCTTTGTTCTTCCTCCAGAAACACACCTACCATGATGGATATGGTGCAGGACTGAAACAGAAGCCAGAGGAGAACGACAGACATCAACCCCTCATGCCTCAGACACACCCACATTTTACATTTGTTTATAACCTATTTTATTCTGTCAGTCTCTGTTAAGGGCCCAAGGCCTCTTACACTCACCCAAAGGCCCCGAGTGTCCCAGGACTCCCCTGTAGTATGTACCAGATAGTGCCGGGTGGTCCAGGGGATCACAGTACAGCTCCTGTGGGCCCTGGGTCCCCTCTGAAGAGGAAGCTGGGACTTGATCGTCGCCCTCTGGTGGTGGCTGGTATGTTAGGCTGTATGCTAGTGCTAGCAGCAGTGGTTTCCTGGTGTTACTACTCTGCATCGCTCCGGAAAGCCCACCTGCTGAAGGCTGAACTGCTAGACCTCCAAGGGGATGGATTCACCATTCGCAACCAGGCTGGGGCGGTCATATTCACTATGGCCTTCAGGTGTGTGTTAAAATGAAGTTCCCAATCTTTTTGTGCTAACCGTGCATGTCATTTGTCTCTCTATGCCATCTGAGTAGTAGGCCTCTGTGTTTCATCTCTCTGTTGTAGCTCTACATTTCTGTGTGATGCAGTGTTTCCCCTATATTCAATTAGCAGCAGCACGAGTAAACGAGTAAAACCAGATAGAAAGTATGTAGAAAAGATAGTGGAGCTACTGAGTGTACCAAACATTAGGAACACATTCCTAATATTGAGTTGCACCCTTTTCACCTTCAGAACAGCCTCAATTCGTTTAGGCATGGACTAAAAGGTGTCAAGTGTACCACAGGGATGCTGGCCCATGTTGACGCCAATGCTTCCCACAGTTGTGTCAAGTTGGCTGGATGTCCTTTGGGTAGTGGACCATTGTTGATACACACGGGAAACTGTTGAACGTGGAAAAACCATCAGCGTTGCAGTTCTTGACACACTCAAACCGGTGCTCCTGGCACCTACTACCATACCCGTTCAAAGGCACTTCAATCTTTTATCTTGCCCATTCACCCTCGGAATTGTACACATACCCAAGCCATGTCTCAAGGCTTAAAAATCCTTCTTTAACCTGTCTCCTCCCCTTCATCTACACTGATTGAAGTAGATTTAACAAGTGACATCAATAAGTGATCATAGCTTTCACCTGGTCAGTCTGTCATGGAAAGAGCAGGTGTTCTTAATGTTTTGTATACTCTAAGAAGAAATAAGCAACGAATAATGTACGTTTACATAAATTATGTTTCACAATTGGGTTATCAAATGTATCAAGGTAAAGAAGTGGGTTACCTTCTGTGTTTGCACAAATGATGAGCCTGTGAAAGCTGTTGCGGCAGACAGGTGAAGGTTTCTGGCTGGATACTTGCCAACGTGTGGCTGACTGTTCCATTCATAGGAATGCTTACAGCGCGCGCATGTCTGCATGATGCTAAGCTATGCTGCATGTTCCACTGCATATTGGACATCTCTCGAACAACTGCAGCAGGCAATCTTATGAGGTGGTGTTGACTGGGAGGGCCTGCGACAGAGTGAAATAATAGACAGCCAATAGACAGTAAATTGCATTTTGTTCTAAAGAAAGGACAAAGCTTTTTGGTAATGCACTACACAACCAAAATGACTCTACTAGTTGTATCTACTTGGCTGGGAAATTAGCCTACTAGTTTATCAAGCAGTCTATTTTTTTATACAACTTTTCACATTTCACACATTACCTGTCGATGAAGCTGTCTGTGTCATCAGGGCAGTAACTCTGGTCACTATCAGAGGCCTCATGATGGCGTGTCCTTTTCATAGGAGTCGAGGGAGAGTCTGGCAACAACGGAGGAGGTGTCACATGACACACTTTTATTCTGAGGTCTTGCTTGACCAGCTGTGAAAATAGGTCGCTAAACTATTGCTGGACATGTTATGATACCAGGGACGGCCTGTTCAATAGGGCGATATGGGCGACGCACTGCCAAACGGGAAAAGGAAGGGATTTTTTTTCTAATCAATTATATCACGGCAACAGTAGTTATCAGTGTTCTAATCTGATCTGACTGCCACTAAATGTCAAATCAGGCTAAAGTCGTGCTTCAAATGGCCCCGCCCGTTTTTGGGGCGATTTCAGTCAGGTTGAAAATCGCCCAGAAGTCTCTCATAGCCTGTCATGTAAAATCTATTTTTTTCAAATTTCAAAGTTTTCAATACAATCTCTATGGGTGTCTGTGGGCTTGCACTTACGCGCTTTCGTCATACGTGACGTAACCATGAACGTAACTAAGAAAATAGCGGCTAGCAGCGTCTCTGTTGCGACCTGCAGTGTGGCGTTATCTTATGTTTTTAATTTGTACACTTAGTGGCGTTATTTTATGTTTTTAATTTGTACACTTAGTTTACAAACATTCTGCCAACCATGGATTTCCAGTGGTGGGTTTTGGACTGATCTTGTTGATCGTGTACATACCCGCTACGAACTGACTAAATAATGAAAACGCTGCTGGCAGCGGAATCCAATACAGCTGGGAGACTTGGCTGGATGACAGAGTCCCGGACAGAGAAGTGGAGCCGGCCGGCTTCACCCTGGTCAGAGCGGACCTCGATCTGACAGTCACAGGGAAAATCGATCCTGGTAAGAGAGCGACTCTGTACCCCCGACATTGAACTGCTTTCTGTTTCACTGCGACCTTACAATCTGCCCCGTGAGTTCCCCCAATTGTTTGTTACCGTTGTGTACTGTTGATAATCACAAGTTTACTGGAGAACTGAGACCAAGTAGAGACTTTGGACAGGGTGGATATGGTATAATAAAGGCAGTTTATTCAGAGGTAAAGATATCTGGAATCGCGTGCACGGACTCGTTCGTCAAACTCTTAGGGAGCTATCTGAAGAGAGCCCCGAAAACATTGTGTGCAGACATTTTATACAATAAATGATGTAGGTTGAATCTAGTAGTTCTGATCTTCTGATTGGTCCTGATGAGTTGGGCGAGGTCCCCTCCACTGTTGCATTGGCTCTGAGTCGGGTTCTCTGTCTTCAAATGTTCAGCCTAAAGAGAGGGGATTTTTGTGTGTGTGTGTGTGTGTGTGTGTTTAACAGTGATGATGTGTGTGTGTGTGTGTTATCAGTGATGATGTGTGTGTGTGTGTGTGTGTGTGTGTGTCCTCAGAGCAAGAACTCGTGAGTTGGAAGAACTGAGAGACCTATGGCGTGGGTGTTGTCCTTGGCCACCTGCTGACAAGGCTGACAAGATAGGACTCTTTTGTCCATTGTTATAGGATAGGAACAGCATTGATTGAAAACAAACGCCCAACACAAAATGGGTCATGCACAAGATTTTAGTCAGACCAAGCTATAACATTATATATTTACTACGACAGTACATTCAACCAAAAGCTAATATAACAAAGGCATCAGAGATTATTTATAATCTGTCACAGAAACTGGAATCCATCTCCCCAGATCAGTCAATAAATGCTTCTGGTATTGACTTATATGCTGCCCCTGTCTTCATGTTGTTGCTGGACATATCTTTTTTAAAATGTGTGTAGGTCACCTAAATCATCAGAAAAATTGCCCCTCCTGAGAATTTTTTCAGGAGCCGCCACTGTATGATACTCACCTTTGCTCCTTCTGGTAGGTCCCGGCATCCGTTCATGACCAGGGGATCAGTCTGGCACCCAACTGTGCACTTTGTCTATCAGAATAACAGGGTTAATGGTTGTCATCATCCCTCAATTATAGACATAGCTAAATAAATCTTGTTTGGAAGCTAATTCTATGCTTTGCAGATGTAGACTGACCGGCACCAGATTGGATTCAGGCTGGTGACGCCATTACAATATGCAACTAACTGTGACATGTTTTGCTATGGCCCTGGGTTGGTTTGACTTTGTTGCTGCTAGTTAGTACGTTGTTGTAGTCAGACATGATTTAGCTGCCACATCCGACGCTCATCGGATGTGGCAGGGCTTGAAAACTATTCCAGACTACAAAGGGAAGCACAGCCGCGAGCTGCCCAGTGACACAAGCCTACCAGATGAGCTAAATCACTTCTATGCTCGCTTCGAGGCAAGCAACACTGAAGCATGCATGAGAGCATCAGCTGTTCCGGATGACTATGTGATCACGCTCTCCGTAGCTGATGTAAGTAGGACTTTTAAGCAGGTAAGTATTCACAAGGCCGCAGGGCCAGACGGATTACCAGGATGTGTACTCTGAGCATGCGCTGACCAACTGGCAAGTGTCTTCACTGACATTTTCAACATGTCCCTGACTGAGTCTGTAATACCAACATGTTTCAAGCAGACCACCATAGTCCCTGTGCCCAAGAACACTAAGATAACCTGCCTAAATGACTACCGACCCGTAGCACTCACGTCTGTAGCCATGAAGTGCTTTGAAAGGCTGGTCATGGCTCACATCAACACCATTATCCCAGAAACCCTAGACCCACTCCAACTTGCATACCGCCCCAACAGATCCACAGATGATGCAATCTCTATTGCACTCCACACTGCCCTTTCCCACCTGGACAAAAGGAACACCTACGTGAGAATGCTATTCATTGACTACAGCTCAGCATTCAACACCATAGTGCCCTCAAAGCTCATCACTAAGCTAAGGACCGTGGGACTAAACACCTCCCTCTGCAACTGGATCCTGGACTTCCTGACGGGCTGCCCCCAGGTGGTAAGGGTAGGTAACAACACATCTGCTACGCTGATCCTCAACACGGGGGTCCCTCATTGGTGCGTGCTCAGTCCCCTCCTGTACTCCCTGTTCACCCATGACTGCATGGCCAGGCACAACTCCAACACCATCATTAAGTTTGCCGACGACACAACAGTGGTAGGCCTGATTACCGACAACGTTGAGACAGCCTATAGGGAGGAGGTCAGAGACCTGGCCGTGTGGTGCCGGGATAACAATCCCTCCCTCAACGTGATCAAGACAAAGGAGATGATTGTGGACTACAGGGAAAAAAAGAGGACTGAGCACGCCCCCATTCTCATCGACGGGGCTGTAGTGGAACAGGTTGAGAGCTTCAAGTTCCTTGATGTCCACATCACCAAGAAACTATCATGGTCCAAACACACCAAGACAGTCGTGAAGAGGGCACAACAAAGCCTATTCCCCCTCAGGAGACTGAAAAGATTTGGCATGGGTCCTCAGATCCTCAAAAAGTTATACAGCTGCACCTTCGAGAGCATCCTGACTGGGTGCATCACCACCTGGTATGGCAACTGCTCGGCCTCCGACCGCAAGTCAGTACAGAGGGTAGTGCGTACGGCCCAGTACATCATTGGGGCCAAGCTTCCTGCCATCCAGCACCTCTATACCAGTCGGTGTCAGAGGAATGCCCTAAAAATTGTCAAAGACTCCAGCCACCCTAATCATAGACTGTTCACTCTGCTACCGCACGGCAAGTGGTAGCAGAGTGAAGCTTCTTAACAGCTTCTACCCAAGCCATAAGACTCCTGAACAGCTAATCATGGCTAACCGGATAATTTGCATTGCCCCCCCACCCCACCCCAACCCCCTCTTTTGAAATGTTATTGTGTTTCCAAGCAAAATCCAATTTGTATTGAGGTAGGCTAACGTTAGCTAGGTAGCTTGCTAGCTAACATCAGCTATGCTAGCGACGATGGTGATAATGATTATCAAAATATACATAGCCAGATACATAACCAGCAGTCTATGTTCTAGCTACTGGTGTACTCGCTACCATTGGGGACCAACTAACTCCAACACCCTATTCCGCACAGTAGGCTCCTTCAGCAGGGCATGCAAACCATGGTTGGCTGTGCATCCTGCTGGACGCATGCATTGTCGCAATCTGCATAGGGCTTTTCAGTCTAAAACGGCCGTGATCCTTTGAATGGAACCTATTCAATGAAGGGAAGCGTAGTGGGCAGAGGGGCGATTTGCACGTGGAGCTTGGCAAAAGGGGGAATTAATTGTTGACATAATTGTAATCCAAACTCAACCTTAATTTACTAATTGTGATGCACTCAGGTTCCAAACCCCGTTTTAGACTAGATTGACTTTATGACCAAAATGATCCTATTTATCCATTGTAGTAAATAGATGGATAATGGTAGTGACATTGTTAAGCCCTCAGGGGACATTGATTGGGTCACAAGCTCAGCAGCAAAATCATATAGACAAAAATACACACAAACTTTATTGAACAGTAATCTGCATTCACACTGTACTGGCTAAAAGTGCTATGGTATGTTTTACTATGAAATAGACACAGTTTAATTATATTTCCCTATATTCCTTCCTTTGTGTTATTTACAGACATGTCAGTCCCTCCAGGATTTTGCTGTGTTTTTTAAACATTTGCCAGCAAAAATGCTTTGTTGATGTGTGGCTTGACTGTGGGAAAAGTTTGTTGGTGTTTGGCTTGATTGAACCGTTCTATGCTGTAAAAGTGCGGCAATTGGTTAAAATGGCGAGCCCTCTTTTTGTAGTGCGTGATCAGTTTTATGTGGTAATATTGCGGTGATTTGACGGTTTTATGCGGTAGCCTAATAGTGATTAGCCAAATTTACAAGGCCTTGCATAATATGTGGGGCATTTTTGATTTTGCTAAATCGTGGAGGGACTTTTATATACTGTGAAAGCATTATACAGTACTAGTGCTACTGCTACTACTAGCATGAGCTTGTGGTTATGCTTTTCCTTATACAGCAAAGTAAGCATCTTTCTCTCACTCTCTCTTTATTGCTCTCTCGCTCTCTCTGCTTTCTTTTTCTCTCTTGCTCTCTCAGGTCTGGGACCTTGGACCTGAACTCTTGTTCTAAGGATGGCGACACCCTGAGCTGCAGCCAATCAGATTCCGGCAAGATCAACTTCTTCATCCAGACGGTTCCCCAGAAGTCCGTAGTTATGTGCTACCGCGTGCGCTGGGAGGAGCTAGAACACGAAAATTCCGTGGAACATGCCATGGCCATGACCAATGGCTCGCATTGGTACGGAGGGGCGGAGGGGCTGGTACGAAGGGGCTGGCCAATCAGCATCCAGGGCCGGGAAGAGCCACGCCCCTTCATTACCAGCGACGTCTACTCCAGTCGGAACGGTTTCGGGGGGATCATCGAACGCTATTGGCTGTCTTCGAACGCTACGGCGATTAAGATTAATGACTCTGTACCGTTCCACCTGGGCTGGGATGAGCAGGACCGGACGCTGAGGTTCCAGGCTCGTTACCAGGAATCTCCCTACAGGCCAGCCCCGGGACAGCGCCCCCTACCGGAACTCAGCTACAGAGTGTGTGTGGGCGCTGATGTCACCTCTATACACAAGTACATGGTGAGGAATTTCTCATACAATATTGCACCTATTAGTTATCGCATCTGCCTGCCTGCCTGCATGCATGCATTGAAAGACGAAGGCACTGGAGGATAGTGAGCGAGAAAGAGAGTGGGGGAATCCCAAATCGTCCCCTAAAATGTGTGCGTAGGGATTAGAGGACGATTTGGGATTGCGCCACTCTCTTTCTCTCTCTTGCTGTCCTCCCAGAACCTTCTGTCTTTCCCTGTACCCTCTCTGTGAGAGAGAATGATACAGATATTGAGAATTATAGATGGAGAGAGTGAGGATAGAGAGAGAGCGAAAAGGAGAGGGGGAGATTGTCGTATTGTGTTGATGCTAATAATTCTCTATTTGTGTGTATTATTTTTTTTTCCATCTGTCTTTGTCAGGTGCGTCGCTACTTCAACAAGCCCAACAAGGTGCCATCAGCAGAGGTGTTCAGGCATCCCGTGTGGTCCACTTGGGCAATCCATAAGAACTCCGTGGACCAGGACAAATTGCTCCGCTACGCCAGCGATATCACCGCCCACGGCTTTTCTTGCTCACACTTGGAGCTTGATGACCGCTACACGACCAGCTACGGAGAGTTCGACTTCGACCCACAGAAATTCCCCAACGCCACCGGCATGTTCAAGAAACTACGAGAGGATGGCTTCCTGGTTTCGTTGTGGACGCACCCGTTTGTCAACTACGACTCTGTGAACTTTGGCATCGGGGTGGAGAGAGGGCTGTTCGTACGCGCGCCGGACGGTGAACTCCCCGCGTTAGTGCGATGGTGGAACGGGATTGGCGGGATCCTGGATTTCACCAACCCCGAAGCCCGCGAGTGGTACTCCTCCCACCTCCGCTCTCTCAAAACCCTCTACGACGTGGTCTCCTTTAAGTTTGATGCCGGGGAGACCAGCTATCTCCCTCTGCAGTTCAGTACTCTGAATCCACTCCAGGACCCGTCGACGTTCACACGGCGCTACACAGAGATGGCGGCCCCCTTTAAAGAGCGTGCAGAGTTGAGGGTGGGCTACCAGAGTCAGAACATCTCCTGTTTCTTCCGGATCATCGACAGGGACTCTGTGTGGGGTTACGAGCTGGGACTCAAGTCGATCATACCGACAGTACTTACCATCAGTATCCTGGGCTACCAGTTCGTCCTACCTGATATAATCGGAGGGAACACCTATCCTAACCGCACCTCTGGTTGGTATCACAATTTTAATTGTTGTTTGTGTAGTACACATTGGCCTTTTTTCAAGAGGGTAAAAGTCCATCCTGTCTTCTTCTCCTCTGTGACCCGTAAACTGATAAGTAGTCGCCATATGTAGGAGTGTGCCAATTCATGGGTGAATGGAGGAGTTTCCTCCTGTCCTCGATTGCCTCCTCTGGCAGAGGATGCCCAGGTGTATCCTACCGCGGAAGTGATTTCAAATCAGCCTGTGACGTGTGCCCTACCCCACATCCCCTTTGCAACAGCTGTTGGAATTGCGGAAGAGAAAAGCGTGCACAAATGTTAAACTATACGCTACTGATTATTTTATCTATAAAAATGTCTAACAACTAAATACATTTGTTTCATCACCCCACACATGGATTTTTTGCCATTCTGTTGTTATAGGGAGTGCTGGGGACCCAGGTCTACCAGACAGAGAGCTGTACATCCGCTGGCTCGAGATGTCTGCCTTCATGCCTGCCATGCAGTTCTCTATACCACCCTGGGCTTACGACAGTGAGGTGAGATGCACACACACATAAATACACTGTTTTACTGTTCGTATATGGTTGTTCAAGCCTCCTTATTCAAATGGCTATTGTGTCTGCTAAATTATTAAAATACAGTGCCTTCAGAAAGTATTCACACTCCTTGACTTTTTCCAGATTTTGTTGTGTTACAGCTAGAAGTTAAAATGGATTAAATTGAGATTGTGTTGTCTCTGGCCTACACACAACACCCTATAATGTTAAAGTGGAATTATTTTTTTCAAAATATTTACAAATGTATGAAAAGCTGAAATGTCTTAAGTCAATAAGTATTCAACCCCTTTGTTATAGCAAGCCTAAATAAGTACAGGAGTACAAATGTGCTTTACAAGTCACATAATAAGTTGCATGGACACTGTGTGCAATTTAAAATTATCTGTAAGGTCCCTCAGTTGAGCAGTGAATTTCAAACACAGATTCAACCACAAAGAACAGGGAGGTTTTCCAATTTATTTATTTATTTATTTAACCTTTATTTAACCAGGAAGGGCTCATTGAGATTTAAAATCTCTTTTTCAAGAGCGTCCTGGTCAAGATAGGCAGCACCAAGTCATTACAAAAAATTACAGACAGACAACATGAAAAACTACAAGTAATCTAGTAAAAACCATTCATGAATTCACAAGAGTATAACAATATAAAAAACAGCAAATTAAAAACATTGACAGGTCAGGGAATCAGCCTCAAAATCCTTCATCAGAGATTTAAAAACACCAATCGGGACAAGTTCTTCCAGTTTAAAATTATTTTGTAAGGTGTTCCAAGACGATGGCGCAGAGTACATAAAATACCTTTTACCAAATTCAGTTCGGACATTTGGAACAGTTAGCAGGATAAAGTCCAGTGAACGAAGAGAGTACCCACCACATTTCTGAACAATAAAAATGCCCAAATAAAAAGGTAGTAAACCCAAAATGGCTTTGTAAATAAAAGTATACCAGTGACTGAGCCTACGAGTGACTAGAGAAGGCCAGCCAACCCTGGTATACAAAGTACAGTGGTGCGTAAGGGTTTTGCAGTTTAAAATAAATCTCAAAGTACCATGATAAAGAGTGTCAATTGATCTCAAACACTGAGCGGAAGCATTCATATATAAAATATCCCCATAGTCTAGTAAAGGCATAAATGTAGCTGATACTAGCCTCCTTCTGGCTTCAAAAGAAAAACAGGCCTTATTCCTAAAATAAAATCCCAATTTCAGCTTCAATTTTTTTGTAAGTTGTTGAATATGCAATTTAAAAGAGAGGCCGTCATCAATTAGAATTCCAAGATATTTATATGAGGTTACAACCTCAATCTCCTTGCCCTGACAGGTAGTAACAGGTGAAAGGTTCAGAGGTCTATTTCTTGCATTAGAAAACACCATTAGTTTAGTTTTGTCAGTATTGAGGATAAGCTTCAATTGACACAAGGTATGTTGAACAGTATAAAAAGCAGTTTGCAAGTTCTGGAAAGCTTTTGTAAGAGATGAGGCACAACAGTAAATAACAGTATCATGAGCATAAAAATGAAGTTGTGCATTTTGGACATTTTTGTCTAAATCATTAATATAAATAGTGAATAAGAGAGGACCAAGTACAGAGCCCTGGGGCACACCATTCAGGACAGACAATTTAACAGACATAAGCCCATCAAATTGAGTGCACTGAGTTCTATCAGACAGATAGTTAGCAAACCATGCAACTGCATGCTCCGAAAGACCTACACTCAACAATCTCTGCCTTAGTATAGCATGATCAACTGTATCAAAAGCCTTAGAGAGATCAATAAAAAGTGAGACACAGTGCTGTTTTTTGTCAAGGGCTTCAGTGATATCATTTAAAACCTTCATGGCTGCTGTAATTGTGCTATGCTTCTTCCTGAAGCCCGATTGATACATTGATAAAATAGAGTTAGTAAATAAAAACTCTTTTAGCTGTTCACTTACAAGGGTTTCAAGTATTTTCACCAGGGGTGACAGCTTTGAGATTGGCCTATAATTATTTAAAAGAGTTGGATCTCCCCCTTTTAAAAGTGGTAGGACAAATGCTGACTTCCAGATCTTTGGAATTTCATTACATTCCAGGGTTAGATTGAACAGATATGTAAGTGGTTCAGCTATGAAATCAGCTGCCAGATTTAAAAAGCAGGGATCCAAAAGATCAGGACCTGCAGGCTTTCTTTGATCTAAGGATTTCAGGGCTTTATGTACCACCTGCACTGAGAATGGCAGAAAACGAAAAGTTTGACGAGCTCTCACTGGTTCATCCACACAGGGTTGTACAGAGACAGAGGACACTGGTTCATCCACACAGGGTTGTACAGAGACAGAGGACACTGAATCAAACAGCCTACCAGATGATACAAAGTGCTCATTGAAACAATTCAGCATTTCAGTTTTGTCATATATAGCAACAGAGTCCTTCAAAACACATGACGGTAATTCATTAACATTACTGTTACCAGACATATACTTAATAGCATTCCAAAACTTTCTAGGGTCATTCAGGTTATCAGTGGTAACAGACATAAAATATTCAGACTTGGCCTTCCTGAGAAGAAAAGAACACTTGTTTCTTAACTGCCTAAAAATAATGCCTCGCAAAGAAGGACACCTATTGGTAAATGTTTTTTTTTTTTACATTTTGGATGGTGTTTCAATACACCCAGTCACTACAAAGATACAGGCGTCCTTCCTAACTCAGTTACCGTAGAGGAAGGAAACCGCTCTGGGATTTACCATGAAGCCAATTGGTGACTTTAAGACAGTTACAGAGTTTAGGAGTGATAGGAAAAAACTGAGGATGGATCAACAACATCGTAGTTACTCCACAATACTAACCTAATTAACAGTGAAAAGAAGGAAGCCTGTACAGAATAAAAATATTCCAAAACATGCATCCTGTTTGCAACAAGACACTAAAGTAATACTGCAAAAAATGTGAAAAGGCAATTAACTTTTTCTCCTGAATATAAAGTGTTATGTTTGGGGCAAATCCAATACAACACATTGCTCAGTACCACTCTTTATATTTTCAATCATAGTGGTGGCTGCATCATGTTATGGGTATGCTTGTAATCGTTAAGGACTGGGGAGTTTTTCAGGATAAAAAATAAATGTAATAGAGCTAAGCACAGGCAAAATCTTAGAGGAAAACCTGTTTCAGTCTGCGTCCCACCAGACACTGGGAGATGAATTCCCCTTTCTGCAGGACAATAACCTAAAACACAAGGCCAAATCTACACTGGAGTTGCTTACCAAGAAGAGAGTGAATGTTCCTGAGTGGCCGAGTTACAGTTTTGACTTAAAAATGCTTGAAGATCTACGGCAAGAAATGGTTGTCTAGCAATGATCAACAATCAATTTGACAGAGCTTTAAGAATTTTGAAAAGAGTAAATATTACAAATATTATTACAATAATAAATATTATTTATTGCAAATATTGTACAACTAGGTGTGCAAAGCTCTTAGAGACATACCCAGAAAGACTCAAAGCTGTAATCGCTGCCAAAGGTGATTCTAACATGTATTGACTCATGGGTGTGAATACTTATGTAAATTAAATGTATGTATTTCATTTTCAATACATTTGCAAACATTTTAAATAACATGTTTTCACTTTGTCATTATGTGCAATTGTGTGTAGATGAGGGGAAAAAAATCTATTTAATCTATTTTGAATTCAGGTTGTAACAACAAAATATGGAGTAAGTCAAGGGATATGAATACTTTCTGAAGGCAAAAGTTTGGACACACCTACTCATTCAAGGGTTTTTCTACAACGTAGAAAATAGTAAAAATAAAGAAAATCCCTGGAATGAGTAAGTGTGTCAACTTTTGACTGGAACTGTATGTGTGTGTGCTCAGGTGGTGGCGATAGCCCTCAAGTTCACGGCACTCCACGAGTCCCTGGTGGCCCCCAGAGTTTTAGAACTGGCGGGGGAGGTCCTCAACACGGGAGACCCAATCATACGGCCCCTTTGGTGGATCGCCAACGACGACGAGGCGGCATATAAGATCGACTCCCAGTTCCTGATCGGGGATGACCTGATGGTGGCTCCAGTACTAGAGCCTGGGAAGCAGGAGAGAGATATCTACCTGCCCGCTGGGCGCTGGAGGAGCTACAAGGGAGAACACTTTGATAAAGGACCCATGCATCTGACTGATTATCCTGTGGATCTGGATGAGATCGCTTACTTTACATGGGTGGATTAGGACAGATGACAGTATATAATGTATACACACACATGAACAAGGGAGTATATACACTGTAGATCAGTGGTCACCAAACGGTCGATCACGATCGACTGGTCGATCTTCAAATCATTCCTAGTCGATAACCAAACATTTCTGTAGGAAAGCCAATGATAAAGGCCTGCGCTCCTTTTTTTTTTTTTTGCACTGTTGGCAGTAGGTGCACTTGATTCAGAAGCCCTGCAAACCGGGTAAGCAAAGTGTTCCCATTTTGAACCATTGAATTTGTCTGAAAAGACAAACTCCGCCTTCCCGGCAGACCGGGCGATCTGTGGCTAAATCAAGTGCGCCTACTGCGCTGGCCAATCGGATAGCTCAAATCACTGTGCCTACCTACAGCTTCTACGATCAAAGCCACAGCGAAGTTTGATACTAGCCTACGTGAGATTTCATAACTTTTAAAACCATGACCAGAGAGAGACTGTCAAAGAATACATCAAAGAGTTGCTGTTTGTATGAGTGAGTTCATGTCTAAGTTTTATTCAGCACTGTCTACACTGTTTTTATTCAACAATATTACAAAACATAAAACATGCTTCTCTCTACTTCCACTCGCGCCGCAGCGGCAATGAATGAGTAGCCAAGTGTATCGATAGCTTCCGATAGATAGTCCCACAGTTTGTATGGTAATGCACGTTAGTTTAACCTTAATTCTCTGTTATGGTATCGTGTTTGTTAGAGACATTTAATAATCTAACTTTTTGTTGTCCTGTTTTAGAGCTCTAAAATGTCTGTCTTGAGTTCTTTGACAACAGGTTGAGAATGTTTGTGTCAACAGACTTGCTGCCAGTGATCATGAAAGTGCCAAAACCTTGTCCCAGGTTTCTCTTCCTAATATGGATGTCTTGGGATGGATTTAATGTTGATGCATGTGTTGTTGTTCATTGGTACTGTATGTGTATAGTCCATTTGACCTTAGTAATCAGTGAACGTTCTCAGAGATGCTGATCCATGTTCCGACCTTGTCTTTATTCGCCTCAAGAAGAAATAGAATACTTTACGCTATTTGCCTTACTATAAAGCTATTATTCCAGTGAGCATTAGTATGATTTGCGGGAATAAAAACTGCTAATCTTGTCACATATGCAACCTTCAGATGTAACATCTGCTGGATGTGCTTTTGCTGCTTTGAACGGTTAGCTCTCTTAAATAAATAATACACTCAAAAACAATATAATGCAAAACGCATCATCAAGGCAGTACTGGACTGAAAGTGCTCTATCTTGAAAACTTGACTGCTGACATGGGGGATTGTATTACAAGTGGAATAATGGACAGAATACTAAGAGTTTTTGAGTGTAGTATTCCTTTAACCAGGCAGTGCTCTGCATTCGCTGATCTATTTTTACACCAGTTTTGTGTCCAGAGTCTCTTGACTAATATTTGTAGCATGCACAACTTTTATATATTGCACAACTAAATCAATTATAACCTTGTGAAGGGATAAATAAGGGATGATGTGGAAAGCACAGAAGATAAATGTTTGGACTCATAATGCAGCTAGTAATTTATGCTTCCGTAATTTTACAATTGTGCGTGCGTGTTTTGCTCAATTCCTAAGAAAGTATGTAAATTCCATCCATATGTGCCATACTACTGTACTATAAACAGCCCTGCTGTTGGGCAAGGAATCATAACAAATAAAAAACTGAAATATCACATTTACATAAGTATTCAGAACCTTTACTCAGTACTTTGTTGAAGCTCTGTCAGGTTGGATGGGGAGCGTCGCTACACAGCTATTTTCAGGTCTCTCCAGAGATGTTCAATCGGGTTCAAGTCCGGGCTCTGTCTGGGCCACTCAAGGACATTCAGAGACTTGTCCCGAAGCCACTCCTGCGTGGTCTTGGCTGTGTGCTTAGGGTTGTTGTCCTGTTGGAAGGTGAACCTGAGCGCTCTGGAGCAGGTTTTCATCAAGGATCACTGTACTTTGCTCTGTTCATCTTTCCCTCGATCCTGACTATTCTCCCAGTCCCTGCCGTTGAGCATGGTGCTGCCACCACCATGCCTTACCATAGGGATGGTGCCAGGTTTCCTCCAGACGTGACGCTTGGCATTCAGGCCAAAGAGTTCAATCTTGGTTTCATCAGACCAGAGAATCTTGTTTCTCATGGTCTGAGAGTCCTTTAGGTGCCTGTTGGCAAACTCCAAGCGGGCTGTCATTTGCCTTTTACTGAGGAGTGGCTTCCATCTGGACACTCTACCATAAAGGCCTGATTGGTGGAGTGCTGCAGAGATGGTTGTTCTTCTGGAAGGTTCTCCCATATCCACAGAGGAACTCTGGAGCTCTGTCAGAGTGACCATCGGGTTCTTGGTCACCTCCCTGACGAAGGCCCTTCTCCCCCGATTGCTCAGTTTGGCCTGGCGACCAGCTCTAGGAAGAGTCTTGGTGGTCCCAAGCTTCTATTTAAGAATGATGGAGGCCACTGTGTTCTTGGGGACCTTCAATGCTGGGTTTTTGGCTTGGTTTTTGCTTTGACATGCACTGTCAACTGTGGGACCTTATATAGACAGGTGTGTGCCCTTCCAAATCATGTCCAATCAATGTAATTTACCACAGGTGGACTCCAATCAAGTTGTTCAAACACCTCAAGGATGATCAATGGAAACAGGATGCACCAGAGCTCAATTTCGAGTCTCATAGCAAACGGTCTGAATACTTATGTAAATAAGGTATTTTTGATTTATTTGCAAAAATGTCTAAAAACCTGTTTTAATTGTGTCATTATGGGGTATTGTGTGTAGATTGATAACAAATATAATTTTTAAAAAATAATCATCATTTTAGAATAAGGGTGTAACATAACAAAATGTGGAGAAAGTCAAGGGGTCTGAACACTGTCCTTATGCACTGTATGGAGAGAGAATATTGATATTGTTTGATGTGAAACTAGGCCTGTTTGTACACTGAACAAAAATACACTGAACAAAAATATAAACTCAACATGTAACGTGTTGGTCCGATGTTGCATGATCTTGTAAAAGATCCCAGCAATTTTCTATACGCACAAAAAGCTAAAACATGAGGTGATGGCGTCAGATGAATGGCACAACAATGGGACTCAGGATCTCATCACGGTTTATCTATGCATTCAAATTGCCATCGATAAAATACAATTGTTCGTTATCTGTAGCTTATGCCTGGCCATACATAACCCCACCGCCACCATAGGGCACTCTGTTCACGCCATCTGCCCGGTACAGTTGAAACTGAGATTCTTCCATAAAGAGCACACTTCTCCAGCATGCCAGTGGCCATGGAAGGTGAGCATTTGCCCACTGAAGTCGGTTACGATTCCGAACTGTATTCAGGTCAAGACCCTGGTGAGGACAATGAGCATGGAGATGAGCTTCCCTGAGACTGCCGTGACAGTTTGTGTGGAAATTGTTAGGTTTTGCAAACCCACAGTTTCATCAGCTGTCAAGGTGGCTGGTCTCAGACGATCCCGCAGGTGAAGAAGCCGGATGTGTAGGTCCTGGGCTGCCGTGGTTACACGTGGTCTGCGTTTGAGGCCGGTTGAACGTACTGCCAAATTCTCTAAAACGATGTTGGTGGTGGCTTAGGGTAAAGAAATGAACATTACATTCTCTGGCAACAGCTCTGGTAGACATTCCTGCAGTCAGCATGCCAATTGCACGCTCTCTCAAAACTTGAGACATCTGTAGCATTGTGTTGTGTGACAAAACTGCACATTTTAGAGTGGCCTTTTATTGTCCACAGCACAAGGTGCACCTGTGTAATGATCATACTGTTTCATCAGCTTCTTGATATGCACACCTGTTAGGTGGATGGATTATTTTGGCAAAGGAGAAATGCTCACTAACAGGGATGTAAACAAAATTGTGCACAAAATTTGATAGAAATAAGCTTTCTGGGATATTTTATTTAAGCTCATGAAACACAGGACCAACATTTCTTATGTTGCGTTTATATTTTAGTTCAGTATAATTGGGAAATATTTGCCGAAGAAAACAGCAATATGATGAATACGTAGAGGATTTGTACCTGCAGTTTGCAGATATTGAAGCTACTATGACTGTACAGATTTGTCGATTTTAAGCTCGTGAATGAGTATGGGTGTGTATTCTCTTAGCTGTTTAGTTCAATTTCCACTGTTTAAACTGTCAACTCTATAATCATGTCCTCTGTAAATGTAAATACAAACGCATCTAGATTTGATTTATTTCTCAAAGTTTTTATTTTGTATCTGTTAAAGATACAAATAGTTTTTTTCCCCAATTTCATAGATGACAATGCTATATGCTAACTTTAATGTGCCATAAGCTAAGGTATATTTGCCTCTGGTTACAGGATATTTCCATTGAAAGATGAGCCAATAGCGTTGTAGGTGTAAGAAATGCTATTTTATAAATAGCTTATTGCTATTACATTGCTATAACTAATTCCTTTTTTCAAGACAAGTTTTGTCAAGAACTCGAACTCGAAGGCACATATATTGCAGAAAACATGTTCTGCAATGTTTTGCATTGCACAAGAGGCACATGATGCTGAACACACACACACACTCAGAGACAGAATGCTGACACCAACCTTGCATAGACATTGATGAAACAGGTAACGCCTGACCACAGGGTGTTAGGGTCATTGCTGATTATAGACAATAACATCTCGTGACTCTTGCCAACAGATGCACTCACACACACAGACTTACTCAAGATAAGAGATAACTAAACGCACACACCAAATCTCCTACTTTGCTGAACATTCGGAACAAAGGGCCTGAGCTAGATCTCCTAGACCCAATCACAGAGGACGACGCTCAGCATGGACCAACCAGAAGACCAGATCTGCCAGACTCAACCTACTTTACTAAACTGTATAAAACATATGTGCACTGTGTTTTCGGGGCTCCGTCTGCAAGTTCCATATGAGCTGAAAGAACGAGTCCGTGCACGCTTGTACCAGATATCTTTACTCTGAATAAACTGCCGCTTGTCAT